AAAAAAAAAAACAACTCCAGAATGACAGAAACTTTTAAAAATAAGAAAACTAAAAAGAAAGAAAATTATGCACGGAGACAAATAAATACAAACTCATAGCAGGATTATCACCCTACTCTCAGTAATAAAAGAACAATCCTTCCATAGTCAATTACTTGGCTGCTGATTAACAAGTTCATTTACCAAACGCTTGCTTTCATAAGGAAAGCAAATGAAGAAAAAATGGGCTCAAAACACTCACTTGGCTGCCGAGAAACTGACGGCAACCGCACCTGATTGAATCTCCCGGAATCAGTAATCCGAGTGCCGAAAAATCTAGAAACCTGCATAAAAAAGGTTCTAACAATTATATTTCAGTAGAAATCGAAGCTTACGAAAGCTGAAATCAACCAACCAGACACACAAACGCACAGTAGAGAAAATGCAATCAACGGTGGATTGACGAGAGAAAAGCACCTTGTGAGAAGTTGAACGACGGTGCAGAGCGGCGGCGGAGGAAGAAGGAGAACAAGACGGATCTAGGGTTTGATGAAAGCTGCAACTGTAGGCGTATGGCGGCGAGCTAACCGCCATGGCTGCGTGCATCGCCGTGTCGATCTGCTGTGGTAGTTGCGTCAATTCAACGGTTGGAGTTGAGGGAAAATGTTTCTGGTTAGTATTCCTTCACACCCTTGATCCATTAAATTGAAACAATTTGGCAAAAAAGTATATACATTAAAAAAAAATATTTTATTCGACTCGTGCTACAACAACGCGTGTGCACATTTAGACCAAACCTAGGGGTGGCCAACTCGTGGGCCGGTTCACGATCCGGCGCGGCCGGCTATATGTAAGGGTTGGTTCATTGAATTGGCTCGAACAGGTTCATTGGTAATAAAAGATAAAAAAGAAAAAGTAAAAAACAATGTCAACCTGTCTTTCAGCCTGGAACCAATTAGTTAAAAAAAACCAAGACCCGAAACCGTCCCAGTATTACATGGATCCGATTCAAAGACACGTACATACGGGCCAATTCTGGGCCGAGCCCGAGCCGTTTCCGAGTCTACCGTGGTCCGAGCCGACCCTGGCCACGTCTAACCAAACCCAAGAAAATGATCGAAATCAAAATTTTCTCGTGTGCACATGTAGGCTAACCTAAAAAAACGATCGAAATAAAAGTATTTTGTTTCTTTTTTTATGTCACCTTGTTAAAAGTTTACTTCTAAAATTTTGGTTATTTCAATTTTGTTTCGTTCAAAATAACAAAAATAGTCGAATCGACCGAATTATATTCAAAAAGTATTATTTTATATATATTTATACATATAAATTTGTGTGTATATATATTATTTTCAGCAAAAATAATATAAATATTAAAATATGAATATAAATTTTTATATTATAAATTATAATTTTTTTTTTTTAGATTTTACGGTTCATAATACGGAAAAAAATTGAGATTTCACGTAGACGTTGAAAATGAAGAATAAACATTGTTGTAATTTTCCTTTTACCTTTTCGAACTTCGGACTGCTGCTCCAAATTAATTTGTTGAATATTCTGAATGATTACATGAAATGACATTTTTTCCCTCCAATTTGATAATGTCTCGCACGCTCGCTTTTCCAGTCATTTGGGTCATATTGACAAGAGTGGAAGCGACGAGTTCATAAGTGAAAAAGGCAACTGCTCTACTCGTTTTTTTAGTCAAAGGCGTTGATAAGCTCTCGAGGAAAGTCAGAAAAAGTCCACCCCTTGAGCTTATGTAGGGGCTTACTCACTAATAGCGTAGCATTAGTTGACGAATCAGCTATATCAGAACCATTCGAGCTTAGTTCTTTTGTTCTTTTTCAGACTAATGCCCTAAGGTCTGATTCCTCTGACTTCACAAGATGGATTGAAAACACTCAAGCGGACTCTTTATTCTCTTTTCGATTTTTTTCCTTCACGTAGCCGTAAGTGAGCTAAATTGATGGCTGACAACGACTTTGGATGGTTTACTAACTCGACCCACGACGTTCTCTCTTTCAAGCTTCTTTCCACCCTATTCTCTGTTCTCTTGCAACTTCATTCCGTAGATGTTGAGATAAGGCAAACCCATAGTTGGTGGAAATTAAATCGTTGATTGTCGAAGGTTGCAATATAGACATTTTGTGGCAGACATGTTCGAACATACTAAATAACAAATAACATTTAAAAAAGTAAATAAAAAAACACGTGGACTAGCATTTTGCTTGGTTGCAACTTGCAATCACTAAAAAAAAAAAAAAAAAAAAAAAAAAAAAAAAACTCTGTTGCCGATCGCATCATATTGAGTACTATCGCCACCAAAAAGCAAATCCATCTCAGATTCACAATGGCGAAGAGACCTTCCTCCTCTCTCCTCACCTCCCCTTACTCTCTCATCATCCCCCGCGGCGACGCTTTCCTCTTCCTTTTCGCCCTACTCTCCATCTTCTCTCTCCTCCTCCACCACGTCTCCGCTGCCTCTCGCCCCGACTTCGAGGGCTTCGACGCCGAGGAGGATGACGATTTCGCCCTCGGGGGCGGCGACCTCCGGGACGAAGACGCCCCTCCCGTTCGCTCTGCGCCGCCCCCAATCTCTCTCTCAACCTCCACCCCCGAGTCCCACCACGGACCCCCCGATTCTGATCAGTCTCCGATCAAATCCACGCCGTCCGATCATAACCTTAAGCCAGCTTCCACAGCAGCCTTTGATTACTGGGATGAGGATGAGTTTGAAGGCATCCCTCAGGACTTGATTTCGCATCCTGATAGTCAAGCGACTCCGGAATCCGATCCAGCTGGGTTCGAACCCGATTCAAGCTCCCGTGATTCAGCAGGAGACCCTAAATCCGATGTGAAAGCTCCGAAGAAGCTCAGCTCTTACTGGGTCGAAATCGTGTGCGTTTCCTTCTTGATAATGTTCGCAATCAACTACTTCACGGGGAAAAGGGAGAACGAGAATCTGGCCTTGGCCTGGGCCAGCAAATTCGCGACCAAGGACTCGGTTTTTGACAAGAACTTCAGCTTGTTGGGGGTGGGGGAGACCGATGACTCTCCATTGCTGTTGCAGGAAGGAAAGAATGTGTTCAAGTTCTACGCTAGCGGTCGGAGGTTCTGCTCAGGGTTGCTGGCGACGATGGAATTGAAAAGCAGGCATGATTTGATCTCGAAATTGTACAATATGGTGGTACCGTGCAAGGACGAGATCACGTTCGAGGTCTACATGAATGATGATGCAATGGACCATGTGGTGTTTGCAGTAGCAAGAAAGAAGCTGGCAAAGACTATGCAGAAGGAGATGAGGGACCTGCAGAGGTTTGCAGGGTTGGTGAATCCACCAAACGGTAAGAAATGGGTGACGGATGAGCTGCAGATAGTGTCTGAGTCTAAGGAGGTTGCTGGGGATTTGGTCACTGATGTGGTTCTTGATCAGGTGTGGTTTTATGACTTCTGTTTTATCTCTTGTTGATTGTAGTTTAGGCAAGTTGCCTTTTATGTTTTCTCCGTTTTCAGTTTTCTTATGGATTAAGTATGTTACTCTTTTTTTTTTTTTGGGAAATTTATTTGATAAGCTTCATAGTTACTGATATGGTCCTTGGGCTGCTAGCCTGCTAGTGCGGTAGTGGCTAGCTTGTTGAGGAGGATTAAATAAGCCTTGTGGGCTTCTTGCTTGTGGTGGTATAAGGTTGGTTGGGGAGGGGTGGGGGTTACTTCTTTATTTGAGTTGAAGATGTTCTACGTAACTAAACACAACCACTTCTCATAGAGTATCTTACCTTTAAGAAGTTTAACAAGTTCCAAAAAGAAAAAAAAAAAAGAAAGGAAAGGAAAAAATGTCCTAGTTGCCATTTAATGTCTTTTAAAATAATATTTTGCTATCATTTCAACTTTCTAAGTGTTTGGCATTCGAGTATTAATTTGTGAGGAGGTGTGTGTCTGGTCTTTTCTTACCGTAGGATATTACTTGTGATGTATGATGATATCTTGTCCTCACAAGTGTTCTACGTAAGATATCTGATCCATGGATCTTTGAGCACGGAATAGACTTAATTATTTATTTTTGGGAAAGGATGTACTTGTTTCTAAATGGTAGAGTTAGCTTGGTGAGATACTGAGATAGTATAAGCCTATTGAAGTTCACTAGCATAGCAAGTGGCTTTTTTTAGCTTGATACCAACCAAAGGGGCTTGGGAGCATTCCTCAAATTGCCTTATCTTAATATTTTTGCTACTGTTGTTAATTCTTATCAAGTGTTTTGTTACTGGGGGCTGCCATGTTACTTTTTGTTTGGTGTGGTGGTGGGTATTGGCTGAAATAGCTGCTGATACTCTCCTGAAGATTTGCCTTTTCTGCAAAAGGGCATTGTGAATTGATATCAACGCATGATAGAAAGTGTCTGAACTTTAAGATTACAATGGGCAGTGGAAACATCCAAAACTAGAATACTCAGATTGTTGTGTTGTGTGTGCAGATTAATCAAGAGTGATCTTGTTCTCTTTCATAGTATAAAGGAAGAATAGTTTAGCTTCCTGAGTCCCAAGTTGATCACATGCAATATGCAGAAAATATCATGTGTTTGTTTTCCCTATCTATCTCTAGTTTGATCATATATTTGCATCACATTCTTTGCATAATGATGTTCTTACTTGGCACTTTGATTTGTCATAGACACTGCTCTCTCCCACAGTCTTTGCTCTGTCATTTTTCTTATACTGTTTATTTAATTTGGAATGCATCATCATATATTTTATCATCACTTGGGAAATGTGATCTTCATTTAAGTCCTCAATCTCTTGTCGAGCATTAATATAATAATATCTCTGAAATCATGAAGGTTCTTGGTGAAAAAGCTTTTGACAAATTCGGAAAGGGCTTCATCTCAATGCACTTTTCTGATCAACATGTTGGCTCTGCCAAAAAGGTGCTGGTGTTCAGGTTTGCTCTTCCTGATGCTAATAACATGGCAGACATGACTCGTTTGGTTGCTCTTGTGCCTTATTACATTGACCTGATTGGACGATACAAGCTCAGCTCACATGTAAGCAACATATTTATTTGAATGGTCGCAAAGTACCTTTAGGTTTCAGTTAATCCTACAAAATCATATAATACTCCTGCATCTGAAGTCATTAAAAACTAAGAAAATAGAAACAATTGTGAGGGATCTTGTACTTCTGTAAAATAGTCAGAGATTTGTATAATATAGTAGTTATACTGAACCTCAAGGTATTGGAACATTCAAGCATTATTGGTTCTATAAATCACACTCACTGAACTTCGAGCGGATCCACAGGCTCGAGCTAAAACAGAAGCATCCAGAACAAAGGTAGCCCAAGAGATTTACAGAGAACTTCAGAATGCCCGGCAGGAAGCACTGCAGAAAAAGAAAGCTGAGCAGAGAAAGAAACTGGAAGAGGCTGAAACAAAGCTTAGTGCAGAGGCTCTTCGCAAGAGAGAAGCTAAAGAGCGTGCTCGTCAAATGAAGAAGGCAATGCCAAAAATGAAGATGACTAAGGCTCATTAGATACCTCGTATCAATTGTCGTTTTCACATTAGCTTCTCTTTCCAAGTTTTTTTTTCGAACAAAAAAATGGGCTGCATTCTCGTATGGAGATCAGCGTTTGGCCCATGTGTGCTTATCTGTAGTTGAAATAGAACTGATTAAAGTTGTCAATTTTACTACTTAAGTAGTCTAGGAACTAGAAATCGAGACTCCATACATCTCGTATCAAATTTTCCTGTTTTTTTATTTTTTCCTATATTTCTTGTATGGTATTGTGTTGGTCATTCCAGTTGACCTAGTCGATCAGTAACTTGGGTTCTGCTAAGACTGTTGCTTCACTTTCCGCATTTGAAATGTGGGGGAAGTTTTAATTTTTGTGCTTCATGGCATTGTTAAGACAATGGAATCTTGTCTTGTTCTCGAGAGTTTTTATCTAGTGATTTGTGAACTAGTCCATGAAGGTATTTTTGGCTGTGAGCTTGTGAATGTGAGTTCATTGAACGTTATCATCAATTGGGCAGTTATTCTGTACTCGATTGTCGATGGTACCTATCAGAATCTCGTTGAAGTGCCCAAACTGAATCTGAAGTAAAAAAAAAAAATAGCATTATTTTAATATAAGAGTATTAATTATGTGAATCTTTTCAAGTCTTCAAATTATACCTGTATATCTGTAATCTCAAATGATAAACTTTATAAGCTGATTGCGAATAGAAGGTCTGTATATTAGAAAGCAAACCACATTTGATTATTAGGGTGGAATCCTCCCTATATATAATTTCCGAATGCGCTGAGCCTACGTGGCTGCTTCTGGTGCTTCGGAATCCTATTTGGCGCTCCCTATATATAATTTCCGAATGCGCTGAGCCTACGTGGCTGCTTTTGGTGCTTCGAAATTCTATTTGGCGAAGAATCATGCTTCGTAATTAGGTTTGGATAAATATTGACTAGTATGTAATCCGTGCGACGCACGGGCTGTATTTGTTTTGGTAAAATTTATAAATTGAAGGCTCCATTAATCAATAACGTATAATACGTAGAGCATGTGTCACTTGATCATAAAATATTCGTCATAAAAAAATCATACATTATCAAAAACCTCTTTGTACATAACATTATTGATTTTTAATACAACCAACCTGCAACCTTGCTCCACCAAATTATCATATATAAAAAGCAAAATTAAAAAATATCAAAATTTATAATACTTTAATTTTTTAATACTAACATCACACAACCTTGCTCTACCAAGCTACATTATGAGAACCCATGGATGGCCTTTGCCTTTATAACGACTCTCAAAACTAATAGTATTGTCCATATAGTAGATAAAATAATAATTTCAAACTAATAAATTTTTCCTAAACGTATATAACAATTAAATACCTTTATGCAAATACTTACTCCAAATCGAGAAGAGTAAAGTCAATCATTTGGGTATGTTGTCCTGCAACTTGCTTGAATTGCACATGTTGAATTTCTACTACCAACCCAATGACATCTACATTCATAAGAAATAAAAAATATTTATTTAATCATTGTTAGATATTATAATGAACATATTCGGTAGTTATTCTTATCGAAAAGTGAAGACTCATCGACATTTTCCACATCACAAAATGTTGCAAAATTTCAAAAATCAAAATGAAAAATAGAGAAATAGGTTGGGTTGGCTATGATTTTTTGTTTTTCTATGCAAAATATTTTGTACTTGGTAATTGTAGATCGATATTTACTATTTCTTTCCACTTTGTAGTTGCAAATTGCATAAACATCTTCTTCCTCTAATTTTTTTTCGGATTTTCGGAACGTTAAACCCCCGAACCAAACTGGTGATGTGTGCTCCCTAGACAATTTCTTGTGTGCTCCCTAAACAAAATAAATTGTCAGTTAATTAAAAATAATGAATCGAACATGAAAAGAAAAAGAAACAGTAAATGATATTATACCTCAATATCATAAAAATAATTCCACGATGTTATGGTAAGAATTAGGAAATTTGATCTCAAACATGTGAACCTCAAGAAGTTGCAACATAACTCTCTTTGTACTTTCAACATCTTTGATAAGAACAAAAGGTTGGTCCATTTTTTGTTTGGCACTTACTATGGATTTCCCAATTTTTTGTATGTTCATAAATGGTGATTTTTTCGACTGGAGTCGACATGATATTTATAAGCATACTAATCATTTTAACAACAAAAATCATAGAAATAAAAATACACTGAAAATAAGTAATATTGTAATAAATACAAAAAAAGTGATTCATCGAATAAGATAAATATATATGGAATATAACCAAAATTGTTACCTTGAAATGTGGATTTTGGTTATATTTTTATTTTCGTTAATCTAGTTATTTTTTATACCAAATCCAATCAAATAATTAAAACCTTTTTTTGTATTATTACTTTTTCACAGAGATTTGATGGACATGAAATCACATTTTATCATGTAAAACAATATTTACAAATATAATTACCTAAAAAACAAAGGTATTTTATTATTTGTAGTAAAAAACTAACTAAAATAATCAGAGTATTCGTAATTCATATTTTTTAGGGAAAACATGTTTCATAAATAAATTGATTTGTATTGATATAAATTTTATTTGTATGGATCTTATGTATCTACTTTGATTACGGCGATCATTTTCTTGCTTTGATTCCTAATATATATATATATACTCACATGAAATTTAGTAGGTGGAGATTGTATATTCTTTACATATATATTTTTTTTTAATTTATAAAATAAAAATTAAGATCATAACATGTCCAATAACATTAATTTGTCATTTTTGTGGTAAAAAAATATATGTATTGTCAACTTGTAAACAGGATTTTAGTTTTTAATTGGTTAATTTTTAAATCTTGTAGATAAAAAAAAAAATTGCACTGAACGAAATAATTTTCATAAAAATAGAGATTTTATAAAATAACTAAATTTCTAATCGGTTAATTTATAATGACAGGACCCGAGAATATCTTATGTTCTTTCCAATGGCTTTTTAATTTTTAATCAGTTAATTAAAATATTAATATGTTAAAATAGTTTTTTTCTTGGGTAAATACTATGAATACATGAGAGTCCTACTTTGATGAATCTCCCAAATGTATTATTATAGTATTTAATTAGTTGATGAAGTAATATAGTTTTATCTTTTTTTTGACAGACTCCATAAAAAATGCAGGATATGCGGCCACAAAAAGAGAAGATTTATTTGGATTTTGATTCTATATTAGCTACCAATATAAAAGTTTTGAATTGTATTTTTTTTTTTTAAAAAAAAAAATAACGGAAAAAGATATGCTAATAAATCACAATTTTGTTAATTTACTATTTTTAGGAAATAATTAATGAAATTGGCGGGGAAAGTGTTTCTAAAAGTAAATTATGTTAATCCTTATTATATATTAATAGATATATTAATAATTAATAAATCTAGGTTCGGGTATTCCATAAATATTATTTAGCTAACTTAGGTATTTTAATATCACTTTTACTAATATAACCCTTTAATTCTTTGTAATTTTACTTAGTGAGGCACTAAGTGACTAATATATCCCTGAATTTTGATTTGTTTCTTTCAATAAGCTATTGAATTATAAATGTATTTTAAAAGTTGATAACTTTTGTATTTCTTATCGGTTTTACATATATAATATATCAAATTAATCATCTTTTGATGATCTTCGATTTGACATCCATATTGCATATATGAAATAAATAAATTATATTTATCTTTATAATAATAAAAAATAATAATATTTATTAAAATTCATTAGAAAAATAAAATTATTTCTCAATTGATATATTTATATGCAATATATTGTAAGTTAAAAAAATTAGTATAATATAACACAAGTAAGTTGCACAAATAAAAAGTGTCATAATAAATATATAATAATATATATATTCTTGTAAAAGGTATTTAAATTTTTCAAACTACTTTTTCTCATTAATTTTAGATTTAAAAAAAAAAAATTAGCAAGCACTCGTGTAATACACGGGTGTTGTAATAGTTATTAGATATTAACAAAATGAATTATCATCATCTGAAAAATAATGTATTATTCACTTATCTCATAACTTTTATCTTCTCATTTTTAACGAATCATTTTTAATAAAACTTAGTACCTATTTTTCTTGTAAATTTTACTATTTTTCTATTCACATTTTAAATTATTAATTTTACCACTTATGTTAATTTATATTATTAAATAAATAGCATTTCATAAATTATAAATTATTAATTTTTCCTAGGGATGCGTACCCAACCCGATCTGCATATAATTTACTCTACCCAAACCCGACTGTTACCCGGCTAGTGATCTTCGGATTCGGGTTGGGTTTTACCCGACGAGTTAGTGGGTTTTCTTAGGGTAAACGGGTAACCCGAGTCTTAAATTTGGGTTTTATCCGACTCATCTCGTTTCATTTGAAAAAAAAAAAAAATAATTTCACAATTAATTATAATATAAGAAATAATTTATTAACTAAGTTTGACAATAAAAAACTATAAAAAAATTATATTATTTTTGGAATAAATAATGAGATATGATTATTTATCTTTTATATTCTATTTAATATTATAACATTTAAAATAATTTTTTATTGTACAATTAACAAAAAAATGATAATAAAATTAAAAAAAATAAAATAAATTTAACCATTAATCAAAATTACAATAGAATCTAATTTTAAAAATAACACATGACTACTTTTATATTTATTATAAGTTATAAATATATACATTTATATATATAATATATATGATTCAATGGTTGCAGGTAAACGGGTAGAGTAATCGGGTCGAATAATGAGTTTGCCCACTATACCCGCACCCGACCCGACCCGGGGTTCGTCTACCCTAACTCGACCCGAAACTCAATTATCTCAGGTTTATCGGACGCAAAAATGCGGGTAACTCGATCCTACGGGTTTTATTGACATCCCTAATTTTTCCAACTACATTAATGTATAAAATAATTAATCCCATCCCCACATTTTTTTAATTAAATAAACAATAGATATAAAGGTATGTGCATCCAATTGAATTCTCTCTATTGCTTGGAAACAAAAATCTTTTAATAAACAGGGCCCCCACTTTAAGATCCCTTAAACAAGTTAAATTCTACCAACACTCTGTGATTCCCATATCTTCTGCAACAGAGACCTACTAATAAGGTAGAAGAAAATCGGAACCCTAAACATGGCCTCCGAAGAAGACGAATACTATACCAGCGACGGTGAAGAAACGCTGCTCGAACACGACGACCCACACCAACTCCAAAACTACGCCTCCCCCGATCGCCACAACCAGCGCTGCAAAATCCTCTCCGAACATCAAATTCGTGAAATCCAAGACGCGACCATCTCCGACGTCTGCACCGTCCTCTCCGTCTCCCGGAGCGTCGCCTGCACTCTCCTGTACCAGAACAACTGGACGCCCAGCTCCCTCTACGACAAATGGTTCGGCGACGGGCCCTCCCCAAAACCGGCCCGGCCCGAACAATCCAGCGACGCGGCCGCCGGGTTGTGCAAGATCTGCTTCGAAACCACCGACGCGCCGTCGATGATGTCGGCCGGGGACTGCGGCCACCGCTTCTGCACCGAGTGCTGGAGGGGTTACGTCAGCACATCGATCGAGACCGGGTCGGGCTGCCTGACCCTGCCCTGCCCCGAGCCCAGGTGCGAAACCAAGGTGGGCCCTGACCTGGTGGACGCCCTGGCCAGCCCGGACGAGAGGGCCAAGTACTACCGGTACCTAGCCCGGTCGTACGTGGAGTGCAGCCCGAAAAAGAGGAGGTGGTGCTCTGCCCCCGGGTGCGAGCTGGCTATCGAGGTTGAGGGGGGCTGGGGTGCGTGCGAGGTGGGGTGTGGTTGTGGGCACAGGATGTGCTTCGGGTGCGGGGATGAGATCCACAGCCCGGTGGATTGCCGGACAGTGGGGATGTGGGCGGAGAAGAACGGGTCAGAGGCAGAGAACGTGAAGTGGATACAGGCTTACACAAAGCCGTGCCCAAAGTGCGGGCGGCCCATAGAGAAGAACCAGGGCTGCAACATGATGACTTGCGGGCCGCCTTGCCGTTTCTTGTTCTGTTGGCTTTGCCTCCAGCCGCTTGCTAACCATCAAGGCTGCAACGGGTACGATCACAACGGCACGGCCGTCAAGGACAGTAGTAGCCTCGCCCAAACCAGGTAGTGCTGCATTATTCTAACTTTATTTTTGGTTTTTGGTGCTATTATATATAACTAGAAATTATCATGTAAAAAGTGATACTTCTTCGTTTCCAAACAGAACAATAACATATTCTTAAACTATTTTAGAGATTCAAATCAAATGTATAGAAGAAAAATCCTGCGTATACTCTTTTGTAAAATAAGTTATCAATGAATTTCTGATCAATGTCTTCAAGATACAAGACATTTTACTTGCGTATAAGGATTACTACTCATTTTTTTTTTTCTTTTTTTT